AGTAGGTATTTTCCAAGATTTAACCTAATTTATTTATTGATTGAATTGTCTACATATACACAATATTACTTACTACATTCGTTATTGTTATTTCCAACTGCATAAACCTTATTATCATTATTTTGATATACTTATAATCATCGTTATAACTGACGTTGAAAACATTTACCATATTATTATTATTATTTGATCCATAAAATCACCGTCAATGGTTGAGATCTTTATATATAAAGCCGATGATATATATGTGATTTATCACAAACTGGAAGATATGCAAGTGGTGTGAAAAGCAACAAGCTGGCAGAAGAAGCATCAAAGAAAGATATGACTTCAGACGAACATAGAGAAAACGGAGGTGATGATGAAGATTCCTGACCAACAACAACAGACAACAATCAGTATAAGTGGGAGAAAGCTGAAGGAAGCAAACTCCTCTACCTACCTATCGACCTGGGAAGCACCGTTTCAACTACAGGCGGATGGAACTGATGAGGATATCAAAGCGGGGCTCGGGAAAGCAAGGCAAGTTTTCATTACTCTCAAGACTGCGTGGAGGTCAACACTCAACGTGAAAAATAAAATCACGATTTCCAACTCCAATCTGAAGTCAGTGCTACTCACTATACGGATCAAAGACTTGGTGACATTTCACGAAGAGCACTTCAAACAAACTACAGACCTTTATCAATAGCTGTCTGCACTCGATACTACTCAAGATTAGATGGCCGGTCAGAAAAGATCAGCAACAGGGATCTCTGAGAACGAATCAACCCATCAGGAACCGATGGTGCAACAAATATGCAAGAAGAAATGGAGATGGATTGGTTGGCCATACTCTGAGAAAACAAACCATCAAGTGAGTGATATCACACAACAGACCATCGCTCCAGTGGAACCCGACCTAATGGGAAGCGACGAGTTGGTCGTCAGTGCGAGGGTGAAATGGAGAAGGTCATGTGAAGAGGAGATGAAAGCATATGGGCAGACGTGGAGCCAGGTGAAAACCGAACACAATAGAGACGTACAGCTGAAGCTCTATGTTCCTCTAGGAACAAAAGGAAACAATAATAATATTACAATAATGTAAATTAGAGTAAAACCTGATGAATGCCTAATCAGCGTAGTATCTGAACTCACATTACTAATCAATTCATACATATAAAATATTTCTTTTCTTCATTAAAAACCATCGTAACTCAACACCTAGCTGTCATAGGAAACCAGATCATAACATCAAACTCCTGCAAGGCGGTGAATGCAAAAAGCACTTTACACCTATTACTACTAATCTGAATTGCTGAGACAGTGTGGCCCGAATTATGCGTATTACTACCTTGCTAAGCACTGAATCTCTCAGTCCACCTTTTCGAAATTTCAGTCCAGCGTTTTGCGGTTAAGCCGAAAGTTTGCGTCCATCCGTTTCCATTCCTAACTTTATCAATGCCCTTTGATCTTTGACTTTTCCAAATATGTTTAAATAACTACCCCTTTAAACCCAAGTTCATCTTTAACTTCCAGGAAATAACGTCTCTATTTTGATCAAAATTGATTATCCCAACTTCCTGTCTAATTTGCACATGTCATTCAATGGTATGTCAGGTCAAAATACGCTTAAAAACTATGTCAGTAGCACAGTGGTAGGATATTCGGCAGCCACAGCCTACTGTCACCTAAATGTCGCCTAACCAAGAGTAAGACCGGGAAAAGAGGTTAGGTTAGGAGTGAGGCTAGCAATCCCACGCAAAAAGAACAACTTCAAGGTCTCGGGTTCTATCGCTGGTGAGACTGTGGGTATTACTATTATTATTATTTAAACACAGAAAACGTGGTACAATATGGCACCAAGAATGATGCGCCACACAATAATAAAGCGACATAGATTAAAACTCAAAAATATAGATGGAGAACGTAAAAAGATCTTCATCTGGAAGGAAAAGTCATACTTAACAAGTTCAAACAGTATTCATCAAGGGAAGAGAGGAGGAAATTGCAACACGTTCGCCATTGATTACGATTCTTGGCCATATCCAATGACGTTTCGAGTTATCTCTCCGACTCCAACCAGGGAGTCGTGGCGCACTAACCGATACTAGCCTAACACAAATATCCTTCTAACCACGACGCCACGTCATGGACTGACCAACTCTCCACCTTTTCCATCCCGTCCTAGGACTGCCTAGCGAACAGAGACCTGTACAGAAGCAACATATGTCCAAGCCACCAAACCCAGTGTTTCCAGATTACGACTGTAAGCGCAATATCGCTTGAAATTAAGTCACGCGTAGATAAACGCTATCCCGGTCCAGAACAAACAAGAAGCCGGTCACTGTTTCTACAGTACTATTAATAAACAAATCAATAATTATATATATATATATATACAACAAACCTTAACGGTTTCAAGAGTACAAAGCACAACGCTTAACAGAAGGCAAGGTACCGCTATCAGAGCGGAATAACGTTAAAGCTAAAATTACGAACTAGCCGGATCAGACACGATCGTTCAGGTAAGCAGTCAGTAGAAGAATGAACCGAAGTAAGAGATAGACAGAGCATAGGCACAAAGATAGAATTTAATTGGCTACTTAACCAATAAATAAATAAGATAAACTCGACAGAATAGTACAAAATAAGACATTGGTCAGCAAATAACAGTTCACAAAAATACTCTGATTGGGTCATGAGTTCAACTGTTTGACTAAACAGATTGAAGTAAAAACACACACACAGTTCATTAAACAAGGTGGGATAGACACGTTAGGCATGGATAATTGGGTTGCAACAATGCTAGGCTGATCCGGGACAGGGTGACTTGATTCAAGGATGGGAATTGAATTGATCTTACAACGACACTCAACGAATAGTGATCTCCACTGTGTTCAAACACACACGCCGCTGAGCCTCAAAATTACTCACGCGATGATGCCATAGAACGCAAGCAATCCTCCGGAGACAGCGATGATCGAATATGCAGAGTCGCCGCACATCCTCAGCTCGGAGAAGCCAGGTTTCACAGGTGTCGAGCAAGACAGCCCGCACCGAAGCATTGTATACCCGACCACCTTTGACAGCCAGCCTAACGTCGCGACAGCACCAGAGGTGTCTCAAGTTTGTGTATGCCACCCTAGCCTTCATGATACAGTTGGAAATCTCATCTGTCAACCCACCGCCAGCACTTACACAACTACCAAGATACGCAAACTTATCAACAACTTCAAGCGGTTCACATGCAAGAGTGAGTACAGGTACAGCCTCCTGCCAATCTTGTAACGGTACTTAGCTCTTAGACAGCCCAAAGCACATACCATACTTGTAGACACTGCATCCATCCGTTTCCAATCTTAACTTTATCAGTGCCCTTTGATCCTTGACTTCTCCCATTTTGTTTGAATAATCACCACTTCTCTCGAGAGTGCACCTTTAAATTCTAAAATAAAATCTCTATTTTGATCATAATTGATTGTTCCAACTTCCTGTGTAATAGGCGCACTGTGGGTGCGCGATGCTGAAGAGTCAGACTCTAAAGCACCCACCCCAGGGTTCCGAACCTAGAACCTTCCGGTTGAGAGACCAGCCCGTAGACCATTTTTTAACCACTGTGACAAGATCGAATGATCAGCCCACGAATTCCATATATTATATTTATTTAGAGCAACCGCCAGTCAGTGTCACAGACTAGTAACTGTCCCCTTGCTTGGTTTGAACCATTGGAAAACTAAGAGGACAGCCACTTGCCGATGATAATAGTTAATGGTTGAGCAAATAAATATGTACATCACGAACTGACACAAGTTGGAATTTGTCGGCTGGTTATTGCATCGGGTGCCAGTGGTTGAATGGTCTGCCAGCTGACCTTGTAACCAGAAGGTCATGGGTTCGAACCCCTATGGTCGATGCGTACTGTTACCGAAGGGTCCCAAACTAGGAGGACAAAACAGCTGTTTAGTACTCTCTAACTGGTTTTCAGTGGTTCTCCAACCGATGTCATCTTATGATGAAATCCTGTAATGAGAAGTATGTAAAAATTGTACGTAACTCTTTGACTTCTACCCCCCACCCTCCACTGCCTTGTCTATCTGGAAGTGTGTGGGCGGTAGTTACTTCCCGGTTGCCCACACCGTGGAAGTTGATTGACTCTTTGGGTACCTGAAACAGAAAGAGGGTTAGTGTTGCAAGACCGCAGAGCCCAGGGGACAACTCTTTGAGGACGGCCACACACGACCTGTATTAACTGGTTTCTGCGATTGGTTCCGCATTAGTAAACTTACCGCCGGTTACGGACCACCGTAGGGTAAGTCGGGATGTACAAATCTTAGGGTGGACCTTTTCTAAGCCCCCTCTCTCCCGAGTGGAGAGACAGCATAGCTGGCATGCTAGTCATCTGAGGGAAACACCTCACTGCTGTTACACTCCTATTCCCCAGCAGTACGACTTCGCCCACAGACCCCCAGCATAGTGTAAGAAAGATTCTTATACAATGCCGGTAACTGATTTTAGTCTAATCGCTATCCTAACAACCTTCCTGGCATGGTAGGACCTGCAGGAACATTGGTTCCAGCCAGTGCAGCTTGTTGGGTCATCGCGATGTGCAAGCCCGACCACCACGTCAAGGTAGCAGCTATCGGTCGGGCCTCCACTCCCTTCCCTAACACTCAACGCCTAACCTCAATATTATTCACCCTATAGCACCACAGCCATAAAGAACAACAGAGAGAACTGTCACATAGTACATATGTCCGCTGATCTACAGCCGGATAGCAGGTCTACTCTCAAGAGGGATGACATAATAGTTGGAAAAATGCCAATATACTCATCTTTAAACTGGAAATTGATTCACACCAGTCCCGCCTATTACTCCTCAATCACACAAACTCTTAGCTAAACGCTGTTAGTAAACATAAATACGACTGTACAACCCTTGAAGATGTCTACACCGTCGTCATCATCGAAAAAGAAGATTCATTGGTGAAAGAGAGAGAGAGAGAGAGAACACACAATACTAACTGATGACTAAATGTATATTTATATTTATTTATTTAATTATTTTCATTTAGAAAAACAAACAAACACACAAACAATTCTCATGAAATTTTGTTGTATTTTTTTGCGGGGGTGGGGTTGACGGCGGGTGGAGATTGCAAAAACATGGAAAATAAGTTCAAATGAAATCTGTTCAGTGTTGTCTGTCTGTCTGTCTGCTTTATATTTTGCCTTCTCCTATCCTGTCTGTCTACACACACTCAACTAACAGCATTAAGCAGCCACTTCAATCAATTCTTGTGGCAATGGACTTTTAGGATGTTTATTTTCAAAGTGTTGCTTATACGTTTTCAAATCAGGCACTTGAGTTTTACACACAGGACATGTGTAATTCAATGCTTTAGCAGCCGCCTTCTTCTGATCAATATTAGACTTTTTCATTTCTGCTTGCTTTTTAGCATTTTTCTGTTGACTTTGTATTTTTTGTTGACCACGTGCCATGATAATATACGACTAATGAAGGTTTTAAAAACAAAAGAACAAACGAAAAGGGTGGAGTGAGAATTCGAAGATATAACGAATATGCTGTATGAAAAAATATGAATATAAGTGAAAATGTATATTCAATTGTACTTCAGATTTTCCCGTCGATTGAATGGACTGAAGTGCTTGGTCTAGGTATGCGATTAGAATTTTAATTGATGGATAGTGACTAGCAGTAGAAGTGGCTCTTGTGGCCCCAGTGGCCTAGTGGATAACGCTTTGGAGGATTGAAACTATGTGCATTGGGTTCAAGCCTCGATGGGAACATCGTCACTCACTGGGGAACGCAGGTACATCCAGCTGATGAGTCCCAAATAGGATGAAACGCACATCCTGGATTCCACTGCTAGTCACCATCCACCAATTGAAATAAATGAAAATACATATTGAATAAAAATATGATGGAGAAAACTTGTAGTTCAGGTGGATGATTTTGGTTTAATGTTGTCTTCTCTGAGCTCAATGGTTGGTTTACTTGCGAAGCTTCCATTGTCTAACTAGACAACATCTTCAGAGCATACTTCGATTTGAAGTGAGCTTATAAAATTGTCCGCGTGTTTATTAATCATCTCTTGTGATAACGTTGAATGTAGGTGTTAGCTGCTTTTGTGTATTAGAAACTCAAGTATACAGAAGATCAACTCACACACACACACATGAAATACTCAATTAAAACGGCATCAACTCAAGTAAATAGTACATAAAAAGAGTTGCATACAAACGTTATTTAAGTCCTCCAACGAAAGTTGCAATACCTAATACGATCAAGCTGCTGAAGTCGGGAAAGACAGAAGGCCCAGACGGAATTCACCCTCCCCCCCACTGTGAATCACTGAAAACGGACCGAGAGGCTGCCGCAGATGCGTTCAAGGTTTGGAAAGAAGGAAACGTACTTCCAGATTGAAAGAAAGGCTACCTCGTCAAGCTACCAAAAAAGGGCAAACGAGTTAGGCCTGTGCAAGAACTGGCGTGGAATCATGCTCTTATCCATGCCAAGTGAAATACTAAGTCGCATCATCCTGGAGAGAATAAAGGATGGACTGGATACAGAACTCTCCCAGTCACACCGGAACAAGCTGGATTCAGGAAAGGCAAATCATTTGCTGATCAAATTGTAACACTATGCATCACCATCATAGAACGAAGTATAGAATGGCAGTCAAATCTCTACCTCATCACCTTCATCGAATTCGAAAGACACTGTTGACCTAGACGTAATTCGGAAACTACTTCAACACTACGGCGTACAATCCCCAAATCTTTATCAACCTCATTCAACAGTTGGCTATATGAGAATGCCAAGTGACAGGTGATCCACGAAGGAAAATTCAGAGAGGTGTACGAAGTGAATACAGGAGTAAGACAAGGCTGGCTGACTGCCTATTATCAACGATGATATTCCTAACTGTGGTGTAATTCCATTATGGGTAAATTTTATTTTGATAGAGTCTCACAGTGTTATACAGTAATATTTACTGTGGTGGACTGGATTATCCGTCAGACTGTGGGGAGCGAAGAGTCAGGAATACGCTAGACCACTGATAAGAAAACTCTAGAAGATCTGGATTTCGCAGATAATGCTTAATGTCAAAGAAACTCGAAGACTTACAGGTGAAAACCAACAAACTAGCTGAAGAGGCAGTGAAGACAGGACTACGGGTGAACATGGACTAGTTTTGCACATGCGAGTTTACGCCGTCTCTGGCGTAGACGTAATATCTGACTATCGACCAAAGGGCGAGTCCGCTCCGTCCTCCTTTATAGCTGTGAGACCTGGCCATTGAGAGCAGAAGACATGAAAAGATTAGCTGTCTTTGATCGTAGGTGTCTGCGTTCTATCTCCCGTGTGAAGTGGTATAATAAGGTGAGCAATATTGAGGTTAGGCTAATGTCGGGTGCTAGGTTAGGAGGGGAAATCAATCGACGAGGCTGTGAAATTACATCGACTGAGATGGCTAGGACATGCATGTCTAGTCATCACCTTCCTCGACGGGCAATGTTAGCTCATGTAGCCAGGTGAGGGCTTATGGCGAGTTGTCATCTGAAGTGGTGACGACTAGTGGCGTCCGTCAAGGATGCCCATTATCCCCATTCCTATTCAACTTCATCATAGACGTACTAATGGACTTAACCCTAACACACTTCAACAACTCAGGGATTGACTTGCTACCAGGGAAAATCTCGTCGACTTAGAATACGCGGACGATATAGTCCATCTAGGCGAGGACGCTGATAAAGTGCAGAGTCTACTGAACACCTTGAGCAACAATCTTCGTATGTTTGGCATGCGATTCGCCCCTGTAAAATGTAAGATGATGCTGCAGGATTGGACTTCACCGACCCCTAGATTAGAAATAGGAAGTGAAGTGGTAGAGCACGTTGACCGCTTCACTTACTTGGGAAGTACCATCAGCCCCAACGGGTTGATCTCCGACGAAATCTCAGCACTGATACAGAGGGCTAGTTTCGCATATGCCAGTTTACGCCGTCTTTGGCGTAGACGTGATATCCGACTATCGACCAAAGGGCGTGTGTACTACTCATCAGTCCGCTCCGTCCTCCTTTATGGCTGTGAGACCTGGCCATTGAGAGCAGAAGACATGAAAAGATTAGCTGTCTTCGATCATAGGTGTCTGCGTTCTATCTCCCGTGTGAAGTGGTATAATAAGATGAGCAATATTGAGGTTAGGCATCTGTCGGGTGCTAGGTAAGGAGGGGAAATCAGTCTACGAGACTGTGAAATTACATCGACTGAGATGGCTAGGACATGTGTTGTGCATGCATGTCTAGTCATCACCTTCCTCGACGGGCAATGTTAGCTGATATAGGGTCAGGCTGGAAAAAAGAGCTAGCGGCGGTCAAACGAAAATATGGCACCAGTCAATGAAATCTACAACAATTAGTCTAAGCCACGTAGGAAGATGTAGACTTCCTGGCTGGGGTCCTCGGGACGGTAAAAACCAATGGTTGAAACAATTGGTGACATTGCTCAAAATCGTTCTCAATGGCGCAGATGCATCCACTCCTTGTGACTTATGATTTGAAATGAAACTTTATCGTTCTTCGTTATTACTATTCCTTTGTCTCACACCTCTGTTTACTGACTATATTATGCATTTCTCCTACTTTCTTCTCTTGCTTTGTGTGCTACAAGGAGGGAGTGTGGCGACTTGAACTGCCGCACATATGTGCAAAGTTCTATGCCGAAAACAGACAGACGGGTGAACATAGAGAAGACAGATGTGATAACCATAATTAATGAACAGAAACGATAACCAGTACCAATCAACATCAACGGGAGAGATCTAACAAAGGTTAACTCCTTCACTTATCTAGGAAGCATTGTTTCAACTACGGGCTGTCGGAAGGAATGAAGACGTCAAGGCCATTCAGAATCGGAAAGGTAAGATACGCCTTCACCAAACCAGTATAAAGAACAAGATTTGCATTTCCAACACCAATATCAAGTCGGTCCTTTTGTACGGGTGAGAAACTTGGTGCGTAGTGGAAAAGATTTCCAACAGGTTGCAGACTTTCATCAACAACTGAAGATCAAATGGCCAGAAAGAATTAGTAACAAGAAACTGTGGGGACAAACCGATCGAGATGATTGCTCAATTAACTTGTGGCAGAAAATAGAGATGGACCGGGCATTCATTAAAGGGGCCGTCGAAATGATATCGCGCGCCAGGCCCTCGAGTGGAATCCAAATAGGGAACAACGAGTGGGTTGTCGGTGCAAGGGTGACATGGAGGAGGTCATGTGAAGAAGAGATTAGAGAGTTTGGACAATCTTGGACCCAGCTGAAAATGATAGCAGAAAATAGAACAAAGTGAAGATTTGTTGTTGAAGCTCTATGTTCCACTCGGAACCCAAGGGAAAAACAAAGTAAATAAATGATCAAGAGTCAGGAGTCTTTGTAGCACTCCTGCTTTGCGGAAAATAGAGAAGAAATATCTTACGGTCGTCTTCCAGGGAAAAATGGATATTCACGAAACTTCATTACAGGCATCTACCTTTGACTCAACCAACTTAATCAAAAATGTCCGATGAAAGAATAAAGAAAATTGTCCTACCTATCATCGAAATCACTGCAAAACCATTCAAACCTTTCGGAATCGATATCGAACATTTCAACAGAGGAAGCGGTGAAAACCAACATCTTCAAGATAAATTCCGAAGACTGCGAAAAACATAATACTGGTATATGTGGATGTTCTCTCGGTCTTAGCATCCATGAACATAAACTGGCGATTCAACGACACGACATACATCTCCTCATATCGCTGCTTACAGATAACCACGGACACAAAGTCGATTGAATGAATGTTCAAGTTTTAGACAGAGGAGACACCGAGAATACCAGAGAATTTCTAGCAGCCTGTCATTCAAATGAATCGGTAATCAACAGATGTACTGATATAAATAAATTTATCAATCCATAAGACGGAAATCACATGAAGAAAAGATTAAACTTCAGGTTAAGGAAACAATCAATACTAATACAAGTAGATCAGAGGGTGTGAAAACACACAAAGACAACCAATCATGTTCAGGGTCACCCACCAGAAGGGATGGCTAATAAACTCTTGGAGAAATCTAAAATTTCACTTCAAATTGATGTATGCAATGAAGATGTTGCCTAGTAAGGCAAGCAAGACTTCGCAAGTAAACTATTCAGCTCGGAGAACACAAAATACATTAGTAAACATTGTCTAAAATGTCACTGGGGTATTAGAAACAATCCCTTTACGTTCTAAGTGGAACATACAACTTCAAGCTTTAGCTCTGAAGTTTTATTAGAGATGGCGTTGTTGTGTTTTTAGGAGGTGAAGTTTCTAGCCTCACTTATTTATTTCAATAAAAGCACAAAACTGGTACACTGAGGGCACCAAAAGATAAGCCACACGAAATTATCTCAGAGTGTGTGCAAAAGCTAGGACAGAAACAGTCGGTTGTCTTAAGGGACTACCCAATCCCACCTCCGAGCCTTGCACTTGAAGTCTAATCCACAAGGCGGTGGACAATTGTCAACTCGTACGTTCCGATGGTTTCTAGTGACCAAAATAGGTCCATACGCCATTAGATCCTTCCGGAATTTGTGTTTTGCAGCTCCGCCAAATTTTGTGTGTTCACTAGTACAGTTGTAAGCACCAGACGTTTACAATCGCCATTTTACTCTTGTGATGAACACCCTCACCATGTTAAGCCAGTAAATTGAACTTACCTGTCAGAGGCTATGAATGCGTGGTCACATGTGAGCCATTTCAACAGGACGACTGGAGGCAATCTACCTTGAGCAGTACTAGGTCGTTTATGGGAGCCTACTACTATTGGCAATAAAGCAAGGCGAGATATCGGCCAAAGACGCCAACCGGGAATACAACTTGGATCACCTTAATAGATGGTGAGTACTCAGACAATAAACCACTAACACATAAGCAAAGATTCGGAGGTGGCCCCATAAGACAGTTACTTGCTTCGATCTGGGTATGCCGGTAGTATTTCAGCTTTCGCATAAACGTTAAGATTTCGCTTAATGCTCATGGTGTAACAGGTTTGCGTTTTAATAATAATAATAATAATAACATGAAAATGTAGTAGTTAGAAACGTGTGATGTCACACAATTAAGGTCAAAGTAGTGCAGAAATAAATCTGCACTACTGCAATCGATCCCACATACCACCATATCTGATTATCTGGTTGATTAATCAATCCACGTGAGACTTTTCACAGAAGTAAACACATAAATGAAGAGAATAGAAATGTAACGATACTACAATGAATATATATTGATGTGAAGCAGAGCACAACTAACAAGAGTTATCCGGAATCTGGAAAATTGCATACATTTGTCCCAAATAGGATAATTTCGAGCTGTTATTAAGAGTTCTCAAAACCCCTGAGTTTTAGTACTGCTATATGAACGACAGCTAACACTTTCATCCATTTGTGTCGTATTTGATTTCTGAACCCTCTAAACTCTTTTCCAAACAAGTGACAGTCGATTCCACATGTGTGTAACACGGTCGAAGCCATCTGAATCAATGAAGACCGATAACCTCATCAAATGGCCGACATTACTACGTTTAGTTTCAATCTTATTTAGTATACAATTTTGATTGACATCAGAGACTAAAAATTTATAGTCTTCGTATGTCCCCTCACTTTAGAAGCCAGTAGATATCTGGAGGGGAACAAAAATGAAGCTGGTTAAGAAATGTCAGTTACTAGTTCAACAAAGCTTATGCAAACTCTTCAGTAAATTAGCCAGTCAGTGCTTAATATAGCCTAAGAGGGCTGCAGCAACGTCGATAAGCGAACCCAGTAGGTTTTGACTTACTCCTAAAAATGCCTAGAAAAACGACAGGCTGCTAAATTAGTGCCAGTTATGCTGAAAACCAGCACTGAGATTAATTCTGTGCGCCTAATCAAACCATCTGAGAACAGGTTCAGAATTTACTCATCATAGAATGTTAGTTCAGAATTAGCGGGACTTGATTCAGCATTATTGTAAGCTTGAGGGTACAAGCAGACATTTGCTCATTGAGTCAAAGTAGGTTAAAAGGTTAAAAATCACTAATCAGCAGTTGATTTTTATGTTTTGAGGCTTGAATCTGTGACAGTTTTGTTCACTACTTATAATAAGTCAGATTTTAAATACTAATAAACCAATCAACTTTTGTTAATCGGGTAACCACTTTGCTACACAGCTGTTAGAAATCGTTAGATAAATGGAATCAATATCCACAGTTTATGAAACAAACATACATTTAAATATAAAACCAACAGCTAAGGAAGTGTAACGAGTTGAATATATACAAAAGCAAACCTACAACTAACCTTCAAACCAACCGCCCTTTATAAAGTGCATTATTGTCAACACTGGCATTCAGTTTTTTGATTGAGTATAGAACGCTTTCAAACTACTTTGATCTTAATTGTTAAGCACTTCTGCCTGTCTTCTTTCTTCCTAAATGAGTCTGGATAGAGATAGAAGAATACAGATCTCAGATTTATTTTTTGAGGACAGAAGGCTTGGAGCCTATGTTAATCCTTTTCTAGTCAATTTCTGTGGTTGTACAAACCCTTCTTGAACGAATCATTTGAGGTTGCAGACACCACTTCTTCTGGGAGTCGGTTCCAAGAGTTTATGACTCGGTGTGGCAACCAGTACTCAACAGCAATATGATTTCTTCCTGGCTTTTGAACTCTCATGCTGTGTCCTCTAAGGTGTTCCGGCCTGGTGGGAAGGAAAAGAGAAAATAGGTCAGGTCTGTAGTCATTATTTAAAATTTTAAACATTGTGATTAAATCTCCCCTCTGCCTACAGGGAGAGGAAATTTAAACTGTCTAGTTTTTTCCTCGTATGATAAGTTAGTCATACCGTGAACCATACGTGCTGCCTTCCTTTGAACCCTTTATAGAATGTTTGAGTCCCCTTTTAGACAAGGACTGGCGACCTGGATACAGTTTTCCAGTCTTGACCTCACCAGAGATATATATAAGGAGGTGAACATATCTCCGGTGATTCAAGTGAAGGCCCTGCGAATTGCCCAAAATGACCTGAAATTACGTGCAGCCACCACGCGACAGTGTGCAGTAGTTTTTGAGTCGTGGCTAACTATAACACTCAAGTCCAAGTCCGATGCGCATGGTTGCACATTTTGCCACATTGATCGGGAGCATCCATTCTATCGACCACTCTGACAATTTGTTGAGGTCCTCTTGCAAACTGGACGTATCACTGTGGCCCTTCAGCTCTCTCCAAATTTATTATTCATCTGTGTATATAAACCATAAGGGAGTCGGTGAGCATAGATAACTCATTGATATACAAAATAAATAGGAGAGGTCCGAGTACCATGCACAGTGGCAATCCGCTACGTACTGCTATACAAGAGGAGAATTTCGAGTTGGTCCTAACCCTCTGCCTCCTATCTATGAGGAATTCCCTGAGCCAATTTAGCTATCTGCCTTTGATACCAAAACTTTCCAACTTCATCAGTAGTCTTTTGTGAGGTACTTTATCAAAGGCTTTGCTGAAGTCTATGAAGACGACTTCAACGTGTCGTCTGTTGTCCCTTGATTTGACCCAGCTTTCTCTTGCAATGGGGAGACTCGACAGAGATGAGAGATTTCTTCGGGAGCCGTGCTGTGCTCTGAATAACAAGCTGCTGTTTCCCAGATATGCCATGACGCTTTTCTTGATGATTATTTCCAGTGTCTTGATTAAAGTGCTGGTGAGTCTGATAGGCCTGTAATTTGAAGGGCTTTGTTTTGATCCTCCTATGTGGATGGGGGTTACTATGGCGTCTTTCCAGTCACGCGGTAACACTCCATTTAGAAGAGATAGCTCTTCTTTGGTTGTGGAACACTCTTGTTATACCTTGTGATATTTCTCAACCAGCTGAAATGGAAGGAGATATATCAGGTTCGCACTCTTTTCTTAAAATTTTGGACATTTTAAACAGCCCTCTGCCTATGATTAGATGAAATTCAAACTGTTGAATCTTTCCTCGATGGCTAAATTGGCCATCATAGGCATTATATGCGTGGCCTTCATCTGAACTCTTTTTCACAGGTATTTCTCCCTTAAGTGAAAGGCCGGCTGCCTGGATGTGGAATGCGGGTTCTGACCTCATCAGATATGTATATAAAGTAGTATACATTTCAGTGGTGTTTCTAGTAAGGGATCTGAAGCGGGCTAAATTTAGTAAGTCGTTACTTCAGGGGCACCTAGACCAGTGTGTGACTAGAATTAGGAATAATGCCTGCCCTCTATGTCATATGCGCTGATTTTTGAGTGTCAGCTTATACGACTGCGCACTTATCTGAGTCTGAGAAAATCATCCATTCACCTGAACAACCTAGCGGAATTTGAGGTCTTTTCGCATAGAAAGAGGGTGTTTTCAGCAGCCTCCAAGTATTTAGGTCAGGTAGAAAGAGAACTGTAAGGGATTTGTTGGGGCCAGTTAATGCAAGATAAGTGGGAGGAGACAAAACTACGTTGTCAAGCTGTTGTCTGAGAGGGCCAATTCGAATTAATCCTGACTGTGTCCCCTTCAATAATAAATCGTGATTAAAACACACTCCGGTTTCATATTCAATATAGTATGAAGCAAACCTTACTGCAGCTAATAGAAGCGAATTCAGTCAGGTTATAATTGTCCTTTGGTCTCCAGTCAAGAGGTCTGATGGATGACAGAAGTCTCCTGTAAACCATTTCGATTGGTGATTTGAATAATTGTTTTGATAGAAAAGTCGACTCCTGAAAATTCTGTACAGAAATGCACCCTTTGACAGGGCTGGGCAGCGTGGTGTTCCCTCGGTAGCTGGAGAGACGTTGGAAGTAGTTTGACTAACGGGAGTAAGGTAGGCGAAGGAGTCAATCAATCGTATGGCCCAAATTTAGATCTGATGGAGCAGATTCCTGGGCGATAGCCACAAATCAACAGGAAAACGAACTCAAAAAGTAAATACTCACAATACTCCAATTAATACATAACAATTATTGTGTCGGAAAGTAGTAGGTGATATATGAAAAAGGTAAAACCTACTGATCAACTGAAAATCAGCCTTTACCAAACAGCTAAACAGCAATAGGAGGATTACTGGTGCGGATCAAAATGTCGGCACTACAACTTCAACGGAGGAAAACCCAGTGGTTACTCTTAAAACAAACCCTGCAATGGTACTAGGGAAGCTGCAGAGACTCACATCCGGAAAGTTCCTATGTTGGGACGACATCAGGCCATCTGTTCTGAAAAAGTGCTCTGAAGCTTTCTGTGGGCTTCTATGTGACTTGTTCCAACACTCGATAGATTCAGGGAAACTGCCAATGGAGTGGGGAAGTGCCATTCTTCCTCCGATTTTCAAGGGTGGGGATAGGCAAAATGCCACCAGTTATGGACCAGTAGCTCTACCCTAGTGGTATCAAAAGTAGTGGAAAGTATAAATGATGGTCACATCAAGGAGCACCTCGATAGGATCGATAGACTCCATGAAGCACGTCATGGTTTAGGAGAGTTAGATGCAGTGTAACATTCTTACTATCAGCTTGGAGCGATTGGGCACCATGGAGGGATACGAATATTCCAATCCATATGGTCTTCCTAGACTTTGAGAAAACATTTGACACAGTTAACAATAACTTTCTCCAACACAAAATAAGCCAGACAGGTATATGTGAGCCGCTTCTGTGATGGTTGAAGGACTACCTAGATGAAAGGAAATTTTGCTCTAAGGTTAATCGAGTCTGATCATCCTCGCACAGCTCGTCATCGGGAGTGTCGCGGGGTTCTATCCCAAGGCCACTAATGTTTCCGATTTTTGCCAGTGACCTACTATGACGTCCAAGCTGCCCGACTCTTCTTTACGCTGACAACATAGAGATTTGGAGAGCAATAAAATGTTCAGAAGGCCCAGATAGGCGGCAAGCAGATCTAAGGCTCCTGGAAGACTGGGCGGTAGCCAGTGGTATGACTTTCAAACTGAAAATGTGCAAAGTGCAACTACGTACCTGTGCAACAAAAGCTTGTCTTGCACAACATCGCAGTGTGACATAGGTCTAGTTTTAACGGAAAAATGGGCACAAGCGTGAATTACATAGGGTATGTAGCGAGGTGAAATGCGGTCGTAAACTTTGCACGTAGACAGTTAGGTGCACTCACTTCTGATCTCTTTTCAAGGTTGCACAAAACATATGTAAGCCCAAAACTTAATGTGCATAACATCACTGCATCTTCACCGCTTATAAGAGACGCGGATTTTTTGGAGATTCTAGAGGTGGGTGGCAAAAGGAGAGGTTGGTTTCCGAAAGAAATTAGGTCTGTTCACACTGAGCTACCATAGGCTTAAGGGGGACTTGTCTGCTGCGTATACGATTACAAGTGACAAGAACCACTCAAACAGAGGCGTTCTGGCATTAAGTACGTGTGGGCATGCTGATGGCTATCTAGGAAGGACAGCCTATTGCGTGTTCTATTTGACTAAATTAGCGTACACGTATTTCCTAGTACTTCTTCACGTTTATCAATGTGCGCAGACGTTGTGGCTACTCGACGCCCACAACGTAAAATCAGAAGGCACTTGTGAAGAGTGTAATCGTGTATTCTAGCAGTAGTCAAATTTCAAAATTGTATCAAGGTAACGTTCAACAGTAAATTGACAAATGTTTACGAAGTACGTATAAAATCGGTCTGTGTAAACATATAATATAAGTATGCAACTTAGACTAAAAGCGTATGTTCATAGTTGGTATAGGGGTACTACATAATTCCCCCACCAGAACACTGAAATATAAAAAAAATACATTTAAGCGTTCGACAAAAACATGCATCGGCGTAATATGCAGCAGAAATAGTACATAGAAAGCGATTTATTAAGCTGAAAAAATGAGCAGTTTAATGCGGTTAATAAGGTCGATATTAAATGCAATAATAATAAAAAAAGGATTGATAATCATGGTAGAATATATAAGGAATGATAAAATCGGCCGGGGATCTGCAATCTATGGACGGAAAAGATAAGTGAATATTAAGCGCTATATGATTAAATATAATAATACAGGAAATATCGATGTTAAAATAGTAGTGACGCGATTTACGTATGAAAATATTAATCAGTTAAATGAGTAGTTAAATGACAATTACGGATAAAGATAATAAAAATGAAAATTCGTAGTAAGTTATATTTTGATGATTTGCATATAACGTTTAGGCCAATGAACTCTCCTACCAGAGCGTGTAGTTTTCATAGGTTTCTCTGGCGACGTTGAAGCTTGCGTGGATGTAGCTGTTGGCACGTCGTTCAGCTGGTCTTTATCGTTGGCTTCGAAATCGTCGATGAATGCT